GGCATGTCTTTGGACTGTGGGAGGAAGCTGGAATACCCGGAGAGAACCCACACAAACATGGGGAGAACATGCAAACAACATGGAGAACACGCAAACTCCACACAGAAAGGCCCTGTCCAGGGCAACAGTGCTGTGAAGCAACAGTGCTAACCACCGTGCCACCGTGCTGCAACTTTCTTTGAACTAGACAAGGCCAGTTAACTTCTCATTAGTGATTGTGATTAACCACTACTGGTAGATTAACTACTGCTTCTCTTTGCCAACATAAAGAAGGATTTTTGACAGTACTTACTGGTTGACTAATACTCAGATCAAAGGGAAACTCCAAATAATTTCAAGTAAAGATGTAAGATTACGTCCACGATTGTAGATGTACACCAAGCTAAGCAAGACCCTCTCATTGGAACCAATTTCTAAATCATATGATACTGGAGGATTCCAAGACCATAATTTCCAATAATTATAAATAAAATGAATTAGTAGTTATTCAGGTGTGTCACCACTTTGCTGGGTCTGGATGAAGACCCAGACTGCCACCATAAGATGTGAAGAAATGTTTGGATGGTTCGGAACAATCCAGGAAAAAAACAGGGCTCAACACTGCTATTAACTGGAAGCTGCTGATCTCCTCCCCCCCCCCAAAAAGAACAGTTCAAATAAATAATTAACAGATGTAATGCTACGATATTCATGCCAATGATAACTGCATGAAAACTTCTGACCATATCTCTGGTCAGCACCTTGAGTGCTCTGTCTCTGCACACACACAGTGGTCCTCAGTGTCACTACAAAAAGAGGAGCATTAATTAATTGAATCCCCTCTACCTGGTCCTCAGCCTCCTTGGCACTGCAGCCCAGTGCACCACTGCAGCAGACCCAGAGAACACCCCCACACTGCCCGACTGACGTCAGAGCTGCATCGAGCCGAACCCGGGGGTGTCTGGCTTTACAACTAGATACCACCGGGCATTGAGACCCTCTAGCTCCATGAGGCACTGGAAAGTGGCCGGGGCTCTGAACAAGCCGAACACAAGTGTGACAAATTGGAACAAACTGTACGGAGTGGAGAAGACAGTGTTTTCCTTCGACTCTGGTTGGTTAAATCAAGTGTTGTGAAAAATCAAGCATTACCTAATCGGTCCAGGAGCTCATCGACCCAGGGCGTGGGGTAGGCATCAAACCGTGACACTTTTTTCACCCTGTGGTAGTGACACAGAACTGTATAGATGCCTCTTTCTTCATACCAGAACTATGGGGCTACACTAAGTGCTGTGTGACTCTTCTATCACTCCCATTTTCAGCATTTCAGCCAATTCTTTCTGAATTGGCTGAAATGTTGCTTATGTTCAGGCAACCTGAAGGGTTGGGAACTCCCAGTGACGCCAGGCTGCGTTTCAAAATGGTGCTCTATGAGCATCGTAAAGGCGGAGATCACATCTGCAAAACTCTGTTGCAATACAGCAACATCCGAACATCTGAATCAGGGTCTTATTCAAGTCTTATTCAGCCGCTTCATCAGCCCATCAGTCTAATGATGGTAGACGCTGATTTAACACCCAATCATTCGTCCAGCTCTTTTAGTGTGCAGGACATGAACGTGAGCTGGTCTGTCAGTATCTTTTTTGGGATACCTGAAACAGCGCCTGCACCACTCTCTTTGCAGAAAAGGTGCACAGCGGCACTGCTTCTGGGTATTGGATTGCATAATCCACCAGAACTAGTACAAAGCGACAGCCATATACACTCTGGTGAAATGGCCCAATGAGGTCCATTCCAATGCGCTCAAATGGGACATCCATTTTATTTTATATGCTGGAATATGAAGAATGGGATTATAGGATTACTTTCTTGGAAAAGTAATGAGTAACTAATTACTATTTTCAAGTAACTTGACCAACACTGGTCACATGACTGCTCCAGTGGGAAATCTCCCGTGGGGGTGAATCATTGACCCACAGCCCCAAAAGGTTCCCAAATTCAGGGATGCGATATAACTGCATTCTGCCCTTAAATTTAATCAGCAGCGGCACCATGAGATATTTGTGGACGTCCCCATGCACACATCTAACCTCCACCCACTCAGCCTCTAACAATACTCCCGGGCGAACCAGGGTTTGGTTGACCAGAGTCTGCGTGCAGCCTGTGTCTACCAAAGCCTGGTCTATACCCACTTGACACCTTACCAGAATGCGGTAGTCCGTCTGAGACCGGGGGAGGGTGCCGGAGCCCCGGCGATGGGGAACACCTATCCCACTTCCATCAGCGGACAGTCAGGCCTCAGGTGTCCTGGCAGCCCACACTTCTAGCACTCCTCCCCCGGCATCTGTGATGCGCTCTGTTGCTCAAGAACAGTGCCGGCTGTTTCTGGACCCTGGGAAGGCAGAGAGGACAGAAGTGGGTTAGTTGTCCGCCGTGGCCAGGTGATCCTCTGTGCAACAGCAGCAACAGGGCCAGAGATCACACACCCCCATTTGCCATATGTAGATACAAACTGAAGACGTCACCTATATGAAGCAAGATATATGGGATTATGTAGTAAAGACAAAAGTGATAAATATGTTTTATATTTTAGGTTCCAGCCTTTGCTTTGTTGGCAGCGCTGCAAACCCTCGGCCTTCTCTCAGTGAGCTTCATGCTGTGGTCACCTGACATGTTTCCCCTCACAGGTGAGCCTGTCAGGGCTCATTTGTGGAATTTCTTGCCTTCTTAATGAGGTTGGGACCATCAGTTGTGCAGCAGTCAGGTTGGTGCACAGCTGACAGCCATATTTGACAACTGTTAGAATTCATATTATGGCAAGAACCAATCAGCTGAGAGAAACAACAGCCCATCATTACTTTAAGAACTGAAGGTCAGTCAGGCTGTAAAACTGCTAAAACTTTGAATGTGTCCCCAAGTGCATGTCACCAAAACCATCAAGACCACGATGAAACTGTCTCACATGAGGACGCCCCAGGAAAGGAAGAGCAGGAGTCCCCTCTGCTGCTGAGGACACATTCATCCGAGTCACCAGCCTCAGAAATCACAAGTTAACAGCAGCTCAGATCAGAGCCCAGATAGATGCACACAGAGCTCCAGTAGCAGACACATCTCTACATGTTCAGAGGAGACTGTGTGGATCAGGCCTTTATGGTCAAACAGCTGCTGAGAAACACAAGGAGTGGACATTAGACCAGAGGACATCTGTGCTTTGGTCTGATGGGTCCTGGCCTCCACAGTCACCTGACCTAAACCCAGTGGAGATGGTTTGGGATGAGATGGAGCTCAGAGTGAAGGCAAAGGACCAACAAGTGCTCAGCATCTCTGGGAACTCCTTCAAGACTGTTGGAAACCGTTTCAGGAGACGACCTCATGAAGCTCATGGAGAGAACGCCAAGAGTGAGCAAAGCAGGACTCAAAGCAAAGGGTGGATATTACTAAGATATAATCTAAGATATAAAACACGAGTTATTTCACACTTTTTTGTTTACTACATAATTCCACATGTGTTCATTCGTAGTTTTGATGCCTTCAGTGAGAATTCTAAAGAAACACACACATACAAACACATATGTGTGTGTGCAAGGTATGCTCTTAAATATAGCAGAGGGGATTTTCCGTCTACTTCTACCTCACCAACTTATCACCTACTTAGTGGGTTCATCAGACTTCTCTTCATTACCAGGAATTCTACTAAATATCCAAACACTTTCAAACAGCTCACCGTAAGAAAAAGCAAAAGTTTTCATGCCTTCAATACACAAACATAATTAATAGTTAGTGAAAAATGCTGAGGCTTTTACAAAGACTCTTTCATCTCCAAAAAAAACAAAAAAACAAAATCTAACAGTTTCCATAATCCCAAGTATGGATCCATCTTTATTGCACTGCAATTCATTTATCCTAAAAAACTGTACAGCTGCCCCCAGGAGGCTCTTAGATGCATTTTGGAATTCAGTTTTGGCCACTTTAGTATTTAAAAAGCTTTTTGATCATTTCATCTTTATTTACTTTATTAAACTTCATTTAACATAATTTGTGAAGGTGAAGTTTCAGGTCATCACTTCTCATAGTTTTACGATAGAAATCACTATTGATCTTTGAGACTGCTCAGTCACTGGCTGTGCTGTTGGAATGTTTTTCTTTATATAGTCACCCCACAACCACAAAAATGAGAGCACTAGTCATTTGTCTGTTGAGGGACAGGAACGTCAGGGTCAATATGCAACTGCCTTTGTTAATGACTTTTATTAAAATACATTAATCTCTGTAATCTTTACAAATTACAACTAGACCAGATTACGAGGCTCTCCACAGTTACACAACAACATCAGTTTAGCTGTGGCTATGATAGAAATGTGCAGTTACTTTATACATTTACTTGAATTGTTATTAATCCTACACAGAACCAGCCAGCGTAGGTGACATAGTTTGAGTGCAGGACACAGTTGTCTTAATGTCATCACAACAAGCACAGAATGATTATTGACAGATTTACAAACTAATGATTTTCTGGTGCCTTTGTGTCAATGGTGTGTTTCATGTATAGGCGGGGCTGCGTGGGAGAAATGGATCCTGCTATCATGCAACAGAGTGATATGCTAATGTCTTTGCATCAACATGGAGGCTACTGGCATGAAGCACTGGAGCCACAGATGCACCCTGGAGACATGAATCATTTTGGTGTCCATGTTGTCATCACTTGACCAACCAACTGAATCCATGGTGTGTTCCTTTGAGTTTTGTACTATTTGGGGTTCTTTTCAGTGTGATGGCCCAAACAATTCTGTGTTTAACTGGTGCAAAACACAAAAAAGAAAGCTGGAAACATATTCCAAATATATTTTCTTGCTTCTTAGCAGAGAAAAAAGATGGTATGTTCATTATGAATGTATGTGACATGTGACTTCACCAGAGTGTACTGACCATGTGAGCTAACGTTTTTCATAGGTTGTTAAAGAATGTCAGTGTACTTTTTCAGTTGAGTGCAATGAGGAGGCTGCATGTTTACAACCTATAACAACAACAACGTGTGCTGAGCACATGGCTCGTTCTCTGCTTGTAAAGAGCTGAATATGTTCACACATAGAAAATGTATAAAAATGTGCGCTGTCAGCGTTAATCTCGTTAAAATGACTTTAACACCATAACCGCAGTTTGAAACTGTTCTTCGTTTGTGAAATGTACAACGAGCTAACCGCGCTAACGCGTTGATGCCATGGTAACTCGCTAACGGAGATTTGTGGTTATGGTGTTAACGGCATTTTAACAAGCTTAGCGCTGACAGCACTAATAAAACTGAATGATAGCTATTGCTGTCCTTGCCTTTATGGAGGGGGATGTGCTTCGGTGGCATTTCAGCTTCCAGCATTTTCCAGTTTTTGCCACAGTTTTTGTGACAGCCTATACATGCTTTAAAATCGTGTATTGAGTGAATAACACATAGAGACTCCCAACAGTGGGTAAACCTCAGTACAGCTGCAGCTGTACACACTTCACTGTTAAGCATTACTGATGCATAAAAGCATAAAGTTTGTTCACACTGTGGTTCACACCAAAGATGACCAGTGTAAGAAATTTAATACCAGGAACAGTCTTTTCAACTTATTGTCACCTTGGTTAAAATGCTGTGTATGTTTATTATAACCACTACTGCTGCTCTGTTAGTGAAAGGCACACTGCCTACATTTCCAACAGCAGGCTTTTTTTTCTGAACTGAAATTACTGAATAATGCGTGTTCTTCATGACTCACCAATAAAGTCACATCATGGTCTGGTCCTTGTTTTTGTGAATCTTTTGGTTACATTTTTTCCCGCTGTGTTTTCATGCCACCAGTTCTAAAGCTCCTTTGGGCAGCTCGGACAAAAACTAGACGTAGGTCCGCACTGATAGTTGCACGTTAGATGGTCAGTCAGTGTTGCCCAATTCCATTTTGTCTGGAGAACACTGCCAGCCATTGAGAGAGAACCATTAGGAACACGAGAGAAGTGTTTGAGAGACAGAAAGGCAAAAATAAAATAGCATTCCTCTCACTGGTAGGACCAGGATACTCAGCCAAGCATGGCAGCTCATCTCACAGCTTCAAAGGCATGGTGGAAAAATACCAGCGTCCCCAATGTGTACATTTCAATCTGTTGTGACCAGACAGTGTTTTCACTGCAAATGCCCTTGCAGCTCACATGGCCGATTAATAGATTGTAGGAACAAGTTTAGCATTTCTGTGTTAGCCTGCACTTCCCCAATGAACTGTCCACGCTCCAGTGCTTCAGCACATCACAAACCCAGACAAACAGACTTATAATAACCCAGTTCAGCCACAATAACGAAAACAATAAATATATCATGCTTTACTAGTCTCAGTCTCTCTAGTCTGCCTTCCATTAAAGACATAATTATTTTGCATCAACCTTAATTAAAAATATCACCAACAACATGAATGTGTTTGGATTCATGGAAGAAACCAGAGAACACAAAGTTCTGAGGGGTTCAAATCTAGAACATTAATCCACAAACAAACATCCAGTTGTTACACAGAAATACGACCTAATGACGGTGCAACGTTTTACTACAGGCACTGTTTATTGTTAGCGTACAAATTAAGCTTTCCTCTACTTTCCAGGATTCTCTCAGAGTTACGTCTTTATACATTTCATCCATATATTTTACTTTTCTTTAAATTTTCATCAAAGGTTATCTGATTCTCTTGGGCCATTTTGACATTTTATAATTACAAGTGTTCAATGTGAGCAATTCTAGTAGTACAGAATTATGTACTGCAGGTGTGTGGAGGCTGAAGACAAATGTATTGCTTAAAACAGCAGCTTTGTGTTTGACAGATGCTGAAGTATGTGGACAGGTTGTTGCTTCTCCTTAGTGCCCCTATGGCATTCTTATGTATTCACATTGAACAATAAATATTTGTTTTTGTAATGGTAGATATTGAATCAAATGTCATTTCTTTTTCTTTGTGTGTGATTTTGTCACTTTGAGCTTGAGGTTAAAACTTACTGTGGAAAAGTTGTAGTCTACAATGGGTTGTTATGCAAAGTTTGCAACTGTTCTTCATTTGTAAACTGTACATTTCAGAATTTGTGATACTGCAAAACAAGTACAACAGAGTTTTAGGGCCACATTAAGAAAAAACATGTTATTGATCATTTTGAGAATAAAGTCGAAATTTATTCAATTTATTCAATATTTTGAAAAAAAAAGTTTAAATACTATTTTGAGAAAAAAGTTGAAACATGCAGATTACAGTTGTTGTTTCAACACAGACCGTCACAGTCGTTATAAATGACTTGTTTACATGAGTCAGTGAAGGAAATCAGCCACTCGACCAGGTTTGTGTGGTTTCTCTGACCACATGTAGCTTCTCCACCATCTTTTCAACATCTTTATATTTTTCAGCACCCTGTGTTTATGTGCTAAAAGAGAAACGACGTCCTTCCTTGTTACTAAAACCGATTCTGAAGAACAATTTCACAAACTCAGAGGGTACAGCAGCTGTCGAAACAACTGTATAATCTCCACATTTTGACTTTATTCTCAGAATGATCAATAATGTTTTTTTCTTAATGTGACCCCAATACTCTGTCATACAAAAGTCTAATGTTTAAAAATAGACATAAATTAAAACATACCAAAGTAAAGCGATCTATCTCCTTTCATCTCAGACAGCGCTGGCAGTAATATTAACCTGTCAGTTAACATTACTGCCATGTTGTGGCCACAGCTGGTTGTTGCCACTGAAAACTGTGCTTCTTTCAATCTCATAGAAAACTGCAGCTCTCTGTGTTTTGACGGTTTTGTCCATCTCCTGTTGACAATGACTGGAGCTGTGCAAGCTGAGAGGCCAGCAGCTTTTTTCCTGGTGGCTTGCACATGATGGCATGCCTGGCAAGCTGCCGCTGAATCTGCTTTCACTGCTCTGAGATCAGTTAGGATCTATGCTTCAGATGGGAACACAGAGAGCATTAGCCAGTAAATGATCTTCACTCATTTAGATTCATAACAGACGAGTTTGCTTGGCCAACATGTGTGATGCAGATAAGATGAAGCTTGAAAAGGTTGTAGTAATGTGGTCCACACAGGACAGCCACTACAAACTTATGATGTTTAGAATATGATGCGACATTAAACAGTATTAAAAATGAGCCATCTTCTCTGCTTGCCCTTCTGTGATTCAGCCACAACTGTGGTTGAATTGGACTTGAGTTTTCAGAACCACAGGATTTCACTACTTCTGTGTCTGTAGTTGGGGTCATAACTCTGTGGCAACGATCTTTTCATTTTCTTCACTGTAGTTGCTAGTGGTTTGATGTGCAGTCTATGCCTCTGGCTGTACTCTGCTGCGAGTATGTTATTGTACTGTGAATCATCTTTTCCAGCTGAAAGTAAACTCTAAAACCCCGTTAACACTTCTTTCATGGCAACCGCTGGCAGATTGTTGACCAAGTTGCTCCAATCATGTTCTTTCAGAGGTTGCACAATCTGTGTCTTCTGAACATCTGGCAAAATCCCTCTTTTTTCCTTTGTGGTTTGGTGTTTGAGGCCTTGTGGTTTGCTGTTGCCACAGTCTTGTATTTGCCACCCACTGCTACACAAATTGACATGCAATGGTATGTCTACCGAGGTGGTTGATGTCAGGTTGATGTAAGGCAAACGTCCCAATTCATGATCACCTCTCAAAGTGATGTGCAGCTATTGTTCTTCACATTCCTTGATGTTTCATTGGTAGTAAAAGAGGGATATTTCAGTCTTTGAAGTGGGGCTGTAATTTGAAGAGAAAGGCTTTATTGTCTTTAAGCTGAATCATTCTACTATGCATAGTAGGACATGCTCATCTTGGATTTTGTGCTGCAATGGCCAAAACCTTTCTTCCCCAAATCTGCACTTTTTTGGTTTCTTTACAATAATTTGATGCTATGCAGGCTCTTCCTTGAACTTTTCTTCGACTGGAGTTCTTTCTCCCGATCAACACCAAAATCTTGCTCAGCTGATTTCTGGGGTTCTCTCTCTAATATAAAGCACCTATAGTGGCTGTTTTTGTGAACTATTGCGATATAAGTAAAATTGGATTGAATTGAAAAATGTGTTACTTAACATCAGAGACGTGATCCGTAAAGCATTTGAGCACTGATTGTATTTGAATGGAACCAACGATAGACCCGGTCCAAACTGGGGGCTTTCCCACAGTGTTGTGAGAAAGAAAACATGTGCTGTTAAATAATTTGGTTAATGAACAAGGACTCTTCTGGCCTCTGTCCGAGATAGAACCTCTTATTTTACATGCACGGCCTCTCCACTAATCCAATTTGCAGAAGCAATCAGCTCCTAATTCTTCTTCTCATGTATGTTTGATTTCCTATTGGTTAGTGCCTTTGAATAATGAATGTGTGTCTCTTGGTGTGGTTAATACTAAAGTGTTTAATGTTTTGTCCCCTTTGCTAAGGATGGAATCGGTGAACTTGGTTCACCAGCCATACACCTTGAGGTCTGTTATATTCTGCTTGCAGAAAATGGTAAAATGATTTACTTATCTGTGGCTAATTATTTTTGATTACGCGAGAATGACATCCCGCTCTGAAGCACAAAATATGATTTAATATAGTCCACAATAATATCTCTTCCATTTTTATCTTATCAGTTGTTCCAAGATGAAGATTGATACCAGCCTGAATATGCCCCAGCTCCCAGAGGCCCTGTCCCAGGCAGGCCTTCAGTTTACTGTGGCAACTGAGGAGGACTTTGATGAAATCATGGCTATGAGCCAGGACATCTATGGAGGCCTTGACTATCTACCTACTAGATACACTAGCTGGCTGCAGGATACCAACCGTACAGTTATACTGGCACGCAAACATGGAAAAGTGGTAAGTTCACTCAGTAGTAAAAGTTTGGTTCACTGGATAAATGGCTGTAAAGCATCGCCCTGATAAATGACCCAGCCAGCCTGAAACCTCAGCAGGTTGCATTCTACATATACATCCACTATACATATAAAACACAACGAAACATATATCTGAATGCTGTTTGTTGATTCGAGCACATAATTAAGTAAATTATCTCTCCTATTAACGGACCGCCAAACTTGCTACTATGAGCTTGAATAAAACACCCGGCAACTAGATATGACTTCCTCACAAACTAGCAGAGTTGGCCCCTTAGATAAATAAGTAATTAAAGGTATCCATGTCAGCGTGATGGCTTATAATTTCTTGTCTGTTATCTTCCTTTGTTTGATTGCTTGGTAGATTGCTCTGGAGTCTGTCTGTGTCATCGATGAGGGGGAGACCATGCTGGTGGAAGGTCTCCGTGTTGCCCCCCAGGAAAGGGGCAAGGGCGTGGCAGGTGTTCTGCTACGCTTTTGTGCTGAGCTGGTTAAATCTAGGTATCCAGAGGTCAAAGTGTGCCGCTTGACCCGTGATGATAAGCTTGGACCAAAGGACTTTGAAAAGTACCGCATCATAACTAAGCAGGTAGAGTAAATAAATGCTTTGATCTGTCCTGACGTTAAATGGCTTCTTAGTCATCATGAGCCTTTTTGGGCTGTTTGCATGCTTTCAGTGCTGCCTTTTCTCTCTCCAGGGAATCCTGCTGATGCGCTTCAGAGCTGAAGACCTCAAGCTGCATCTCTCTGAATTTGGTCTAGAAGGAGACAATGAATCCACTTTGTCCAGCTTTTGCTCCAGTCCTCCTCCAGTGCGTCTGGACCATACAGCAATCCAGCAGCTGTACTTAAACAGTGACCTGATGCACGGGGTCCTCCCTAACGCAACCATCATTCAAGACTGGCAGCCATTCAAGCTTTTGCCCAGTAACATGGCAATCCTACTAAAGAAGGAGATTGACTGGATGGTGGATGATGTGTCCAATCCTACTGTGGCCAGCCTCTGTACCTTCCCATTCAGGGTCCCCATTGGAGATGACTGGTAAATGTTCCTTCTTCATTTATTGATAGGACTAAATGGATGTTGCTGAAGCAAGTGTACTGACAGTAACACGAACCATTGTCTATAATAGCAACTTTTAATAGTATCACTAGGGAGCACAAGAAATTCACTTTTTTCTACGCGGTACAGATAGTTTCTATAGAGACCGTTCTTATTCCCAACGCGTAACATACTGACGATTTGTCACGTCCTGAGGCGTCCCATTGCACCTATGATATGCACCGTGTATTGCAGCCCTAACCTTATCCCTAACCTTAACCACAGTCTCAGTTGTATTAGATAGTGTTTCCAAAGCGATTAATGATGAGAAAGCAAAATAAATTTACATGTTTCATTCCAAATGGTTCTCATGTTTCTGACTGCGTAACATATCGACGATTTGGCACATGGCGTCGAACGTTACGTTTTGGGATGAGAACGTGTTGTTTCTATAATGTGGTCATTGCATTTACAATCATACTGCTAAGAATGGGAAACTGTTTTCACACAGTCATGACGTTTTCTTTAACCAGGTATTACCTGAACATCGACATGTTTGGTAAAGACCTCGCCCTGGCTCGACAGCAGTTCTTGTACCACCTGCAGCGCCATACTGCCACCTTGAAGGGTCATGTGATGTGCCAGATGTTCCTAGACCCACCGCTTTGGAAGGCCATGGCTGAATTCTGCCACAACACCCTGAGTGTGGAGCTGGTGAAAGAGTATACTGAGCAATGTGTGGTGGAGTGTGATCTCATCTAGTTGTAGAAGGTGGATGCAAATAAGGAGAAGTTGTCGAGGCATGACAGGAAGGAAGACAAGGGTTTAAACAACAAGGAAGTAACACAAATACAAATAAACACAACACTCTGTACTGAGGAGGAAAATCAAGTAAACAAAATGTAGTTTTAGATACAAAACAAAACCTTGAAGAACTAACAATACACAGACACATGATGGGAACTTAAAATCATCTACATCATGTAATCAACTACAATAGGTCTATGATTAATGCCGAATTTATAAAGTTTATAATAATTAACTGGTACACTGGACGCGTTGATTTTGCTACTGAGGTGTATTTAACATGTCGTTTCCTCAAAAACAAGAGAAGGAACAAAATAACACAAATACCTCTTTCCATGGATCTAAAATGGACTTGTGGAAAAGCACTAAAACACCCTGTTGTTTTTTTAAATGATTTTCAAAGAATGATCAAATCTGATAGAGTCCAACAGAGTCACATAGGATGCGAATACACGTGAGGATTATTGGTCCTGACGAGAGGTCGTGAATTCAATCAGAAGTTAGAAAAGTTCTTTAATTTCACTGAATAAAAAGCAAACTGTTTTTGTCGTTGCTATAAGTCTTGCGCGGACCCTATTGCAGTTGAGCTACAAAGATGTAAAAAAATTAAAAAGTGATGAACGTGAGGATACTTTTCCCACACACTGTCGTAAAGTAAAACTGTGCAAACAAAGTGCAACAGCTCATTTTCAATTCTGTTCTCTGTGTAAATATGGAAATTCTAAATATGTGTAATGCTGAATTGGGTTGTCAAATCTGCACATTTCTAAAGGCACTTTATTAAAACTACCCTTGAAGGTTGTGTCTACATTATAACGAGAATCAATCGTTTGGGATCAAAAACAGCGCCCTCCAGAATGTTCGGGGCAAAGACAGCACATTTTTGCAGCTTTGCCTTTAAACAGCACCACTGTGGAAATCACAAATCAATATGTTACTGAAGTGCAAGCTTTCAGGTTTAATTTAAGGGGTTTTACAAAAATGATGCATGAGCTGTGTAGTATAAAACGGCGTAGTCCCCCTACCTTTCAGATGTTCAAAAATAAATGGAACAATTGACTGACAAATGCTTTTGTGGCAGGTGAGGCCTGCTTCACTGTTATTTAGTGAAAAAGAAAGCAGACATAATATTTGAAGGTTAATCATAATTCAAAGTGTTTCACTGTAAATTTACCGTAATTTTAAAACGAAATCTTGCAGGTGAGGAAGGTCGACATTACCAAAGGTTGATTCTGTTCATCTGGACGTTTTCAGTGGGAGAAAAGTTTCGTCACTCATCCAGGCGACTCCTTCAGTCTCAGCTGACTGCAGGTTTCCCCAACCTTATAAATAGCAGGAAATTGGCTGGAAAGCTGCAGCCAATCCAGGAGAGAAGGACAACCGCTGACTAAGAGAAAACCTGTAGTGATCCCATATGTGTCAGGAGTATCGGAGCAGTTGATTTTTTCTAAACACCGGGTCTCTGTGGCTTTTAAACCCCAAAACACGCTGCGCCAAAAACTGGTCCACCCCAAGGATCAGAGTAACAGAGTAACATAGTGTAGCTGCTAAGTGCAGGAGGATTGTCAGGATTTATACATCGGGGAAACCAAACAACCTCTGGCTACAACACAGCAGAGCCACCTCGTCAGGCCAGGACTCTGCAGTCTATTTACACCTACAGGCCAGTGACACTCTTTCAATGATGAGGATGTAACATCCTGGACAGGGAGGAACGCTGGTTTGAGCGTGGAGTCAAGGAGGCCATTTATGTGAAAAGGGAAAGACCATCTCTGAATGGAGGAGGGGGGCCTGAGGGTACATCTGTCACCATCTTACATGCTGTGATTGCAGCCATTCCCCAACTCTCTGTGAATGGGACTCATGGACATTGATCAGTGGTTGTTGATTAATGGTCATGAGTCCCATTCACAGATTCACACACAAATTTGCATAATTAAGATTAAGGAACTGACCTCCCAGCCCTTTGTTCCTTCAGTGGGCTGGTTTCAGTCATTATGCAAATGTCCTGTTTATAAGATTGAAAGCTGCAGTCAGCTGAGACTGAAGGAGTCACCTGGTGATGACGAAACGTTTCTCCCACAAAACGCAAAAATCCACAGTGCTCATCCTTTAATAAACACACTCTTCACCAACCTTACAAGGCGAGTTGTGTTCATACAACCTGTAACGTTACTTTGAGTTAGGAGATAAAGCTATGAGGTCCATCTCAGTCCATACATCCATGTGCAAGCACACTTCTCCCACACTGCAGAGAGCAGTGGCTCACACTTGTGACATCATTAACATTAACTTAAGTCGTCTTAAAGAGACACCACACAATTGTGACTGTTACACACAGCATCTGCCTAACATGGTGGAGCCAGCATCGTGCCAGTGAAACTGGGTCACTGACAATGTGACTGCTGATAGAAGCAGCAGAATTCATTGTGAAGTGTGCAGCGCTTTATTCTCTGCTCAGACCTAACCAAACGATGCTCAGACAGAAAATGATCAGACAGCACTAACAGTGCAAACAGATTAGGACCCAAATCATACTGAAGAAGCAACCCAACAGTTTCTCAAGGTAAAAGAAACGGGACGTTCTTCCATGCCCAAGTCTCACATGTCTCAACCCAGCAAGCACCAAATCACAACAGCCACCTCAAGGAGCTTTAGGTGTTAAGGTAAAGACCCTGAAACATAGAGAGCAAGCCCCAACAGTCAGCCGACGAGGAGAACAGGGCTCAGGGACTGACAGCCATCTGTTGCAACCAGCAGGGGGTAGGAGAGAGAGCCAGAGCTCAGGACACACAGTGGAAGAGGGCCACAGTTTCATAATAACTGAGGATTAAATCCAAAGTGGTATGTCACCACATACAGGGAAATCTATTTTTGTCTTGAGTAAAGATCGAGCCGAGCAACTCAAAGGAAACAACATTTGCTGATGTCCATTGTTTCTAGACTTCAAGCAGACATTGGTTGAAAAATGCGGTCCTTCGTTTTTTAAAGTGTCTTAAAATTGATGTTAAGACATAAATTTATGTTATCCCAGAAATTTTGAACCTCTGAAAATGGGGCTTTGCAAAACAAGTCATTGAATTTTTCTGTTAAACCCTTTAAATTAGAGCTGACTGTCAGCTCATCAATCACAGTTTTTTTTATTTACAATCCACTGTGGAGTTGTACAAAGGCAAAACTTTGTCCCAAACATTATGAAGGGCGCTTTAGTAATTTACTAATTTTGGGTAACATCATCTTTAACCAGCATTACCTTGGGAATGTCAACAGCAGGAATGGACAGGTCAAATATGGACAGGTTTATGTTTTTTCTTTTAAACACATGTTACTGAGTTCATATGTAACTGCTGCAATACCATTATTAACTTCTTAAAAGGTAAGACAAAGTTAGGCTTGAGTACTTTCTTACAACAATGCCAAACAAAAATGCTAATGTTTCAAAAACACTTCGCTGATGACTGTGCAGCTTACTGGCTTTGTATAAAACAGACGAACGTTATGAAAGTAAAAGTTTGCGTTAACAAATTATTTAGTATATTGTTACATTTTTAATGTCAAGTAGCCTTCAAGGATTTTTTTCAAAGATAATATTAGTTTGTGTACAGCTAGACCTCGCCCAGTAAAATCACAACACTTTAAACACAAACTCGACTGCTTTTTAATGCAAAATGTTTCGATCCACAATGAGAAACAGCTTTAGTGTTGCTTTTATAGGCTATTTAAGTGTGCTCTGCTGGATGTGTTTGCATGATTGTCCTGAAAAGTGTTCTAAGGAAAAATCTTTGGCTTTTGAAATCAGCGCCATCATCATATAACGTTTTTTGGTCTATTTTGTCTAAAATGTTACTTTACCACCAAATTCCAGCACAAATGTGTTAAATTTGGTAGAGTCTCACCTGTCTGTACTGCATTAGTGCTTTATCTACAGCATATTTCATTTTTACGAGGAAGCTTTATGGCCTAACTGTTCTTAATAATTCTTCACTGAACAGAATTGAAATTACATCTGCATCTCCACGTATTATATCTCTATTTCTCTATTTAAATGACCAAATACAGAGAGAGAGTGAGACCAGGTAAATAGTGTGTAACTTTTTAGAAATACACTTTCATTTGTAAAAACTAGTTTCCTTGCCTTGGCAAGCTTTAATCTTGACTCTGACTACCTTCTTCTTCTGGTATGCAAATATACGTGAAAGGATGACTGTGTCTGTTTTATAAGAAAGATAAATCTTTAGTTTTACACAGAATTCATCCTGCTTTTTGAGTCGTCACATCCTCAGCACATTTCTAACAAGACAGGTGGTCAGCTTTTCACTCGATAGGTTGTAACCAAAGAAAGTATATCCTCAGCTAAGCCAGTGTGCCAGAAGAGAGTAACGTTGACAGTATCCCTCTGTCTCACACTGCTGTAAGCAATGCTTTCAGCCTGGCCAACCCTATAAACGTCTGCCTCTTCTGCTGCTTCTCAGTCTTACTCATAAACAAGACTCTTTGTAGTTTACTGGTGAACAAAATACTTTGTTACAATGTGACTGCTGACTGCCGGTTAATCCCGTATTCCATGTTTCCTCCACTTTTAAATCAAAATAACTGAAATTTGTTTCCCAGCTGTGACTCAACCAACCACTAGTTTTCATAATGTACCATAACTTTCTACTGCTGTTGTGTAATGAGAAGTCAGTTTGTTAGGTTGATTTTTGTAATCACAAGAAGTCATTGCAGGGAACAACTGAAAAAAACAACAACAAGTTCATTTTATAGTCTTAAATACACACTGAGACATTCAAATCTTTGAAGCATATATTAAAAAAGTTGCTACGTATTTTAATCACAATCAAATAAACATTTTGATGAGCTTAAATGTATCTTTTAATAGCAACTAGGGCTAGCTTAGGCAAATAAATGGATCAAGCTTAGTTACTTTTTGTCATAAAAAAAATATATATATGAACAAGGTGTTTGGCTCTGAAAAAAATCGTGTATTTATTGGAAAGCGACTGCAGAGAATGTGACCACATTCATTAGCAAACTGTGCAGCTCTGCAACATGTTCCTCTCTACGTTGGTTAACAAGTTTATTAGACCTCCTGCCAGAATAAGAACAAAACACAATTAATTTAGAAATCTGTCGAAACCTGTTTACAAATAAATTCATATTGTTATTCATAATAATAAACTAAATCAACATTTTTACACCCAAAATTAATCCAGCACATTGGACTTTCCTAAAAAGTCTAAAATGAATGAATCATAAAATTCAACCAGTAAAACTTCTGTTCAGAAATGCAAGAAAAAAAATGTAATTTGGCAACTAAATAAAAAAGTGCATAACAGTTATTACCATCATTATTATTATTTTGTTTTTGTGTTAATCAGTAAATTTGAAAACCCATGGGTAACAACATTAATTATATTTTAACACTTAACATATAATTCAGATTACACAGCTTGTGCATACTGGTGGACTGACCAGCACAGAAACACAGAAAACAAAAATTACCAAGACTTTGGTATAAACGTGACAT